GTCTATCAAGCTCAGTTGCTCTAGGGTCTCATTTAAGTCCCTGATATCTTTGTTTAACTTCTGTTTAGAGGATCTGTCCAGTCTGTAAGAGGAGTATTCTAAGTCCCCTGTTATTATGGTATTATAGGATATCATATTGCTCAGACTGAGTAATGTCTGTTTCAAGAATCTGGGAACATTTAAATTGGGTGCATAAATATTTAGAATTGAAACGTCTCCTTGTTGTATTTTTCCCTTGACCAATATAAAGTGACCATCTTTGTCTTTTTTTTACTTTAGCTGCTTTAAATCCACATGTATTTGAAAATAAGATTGCAACTCCTCTTTTCTTCTGAATTCTGTTTGCCTGAAAAATGGTCTTCCAACCCTTAACTCGGAGTTTTAATTTGTATTTTGAAGCTAGGTGTGTTTCCTGTAGACAGCAAATGTATGGCTTGTGTTTTTTAATCCAGTCAGCCAATCTGTGCCTCTTTAGTGGGGAATTCAAGCCATTGACATTTATTGAGATAATTGATAAGTGTGGTAGTGTTCTATTCATCTTATTTTGTGAGAGTCCATTGCTTAGTTTTATCTTTTGTATCATGGTGGAAATTAGGTTCTGTCCTTTGATTTCTGAGTTCTTACTTTGCTGTTGACCCATTGTGATGGTCAGTGTGTAGAATGGGTTGAAATATTTCCTATAGAGCTGGTCTTGTGACAAATTTCCTCAATGTTTGTGTATCAGTAAATGATTTGATTTCTCTATCGATTTTAAAGCTTAGCTTAGCAGGATATAGAATTCTGGGCTGGAAATTGTTCTGTTTAAGTAGATTAAAGGTACATGACCATTGTCTTCTTGCTTGGAAAGTTTCATTAGAGAAGTTTGCAGTCACTGTGATGTATTTGCCCCTGTAGGTCAACTGGTGCTTACTCCTGGCAGCTTGAAGAATCTTTACTTTTATCTTGACTTTGGACAGGTTCATCTCAATGTGTCTTGGAGAAGCTCGGTTAGAGTTGAGGTGACCTGGTATCCCTCTGAAAGGAGTGTGTCAGATTCTTTGGTAATATTTGGGAAATTTTCATTTACAATATTCTCTAGTATGGCTTCGATTCCCCTGGGGCATTCATCTTTCCCCTTCTGGGGTACCTATAACTCATATGTTTGAATACTTCATAAAGTCCCTTAATTCTGTCAGCAAACATTCTGCTTTCTCTCTCTCCTTTTCTGCCACTTTAACTATCTTGAGTTATCTCAAGAGCTTTGCCCTCTACCTCTGAGATTCTTTCTTCTTCATGGTCTAATCTGTTGTTGATACTTTCTATGGCATCTTTACATTCTCTAATTGACTGCTTTAGTTCTTTCAACTCTGCTATATCCTTTCTATATTCTTCATATCTTTCATCTCTTTGATTGTGTTTTTGGATTTCCTTTTTTTATTTTCCACTTTATCAGCAGTTTCCTTCATTGTTTTCATCATCTGTATTCTAAATTCCCTTTCTGTCATTTCTAACATTTCTTCATAGGTGGAATCCTCTGCAGTAGCTTCTTCATGGTCCTTTGGGCGAGGGGGGTGGCTCTGGACTGTTTTTTGTGTGTTGCCAGGATTTTTCTGCTGAGTCTTTCTCATGAGTGTTATCTTTTATCTATTTCCTTGCCCTAACTTTCCTTTCACTTCCTCTTGCTCTTTAAGTTACTGTGCCTCTAGACTAGGGTCCTTTTAGTACAGGACCAGAAGGATGAGAAGACTGAAGAGGAAGAAGGGAAAAAAGAAAATAAAAAAGAGAAAGGAGAGGGGGTGAGTAAAAGGGAATGTTGACAAAAAGAAGAGAAGCACAGAAAGAGGGAGACAGGAGCAGTATAGGTATACAGTAGAGTACTTTGACCCAACTTTAAAAAACCCCCAATCTCTGGGGGTGCCGGGTTAGGTGGTTCCTTTGAGGTCAGCAGCTCTTTGCTAGCCTGTTCAGTCACAGTACCCCACCTCCACCAAGTAGCAAGGAAAGACAAAAATGCTACAAATCAGGCTTAGTGCCTGTAGCTCAAATGGCTAAGGAGCCAGCCACGTACACCAGAGCTAGTGGGTTCGAATCCAGCCCAGGCCTATCAAATAACAATGACAACTACTACAACCAAAAAAAATAGCCAGCTGTTGTGGCAGGAGCCCATAATCCCAGTCACTTGGGAGGTTGAGGCAAGAGAGTCACTTAAGCCCAGGAGCTGGAGGTTGCTATGAGCTGTGATGCCATGGTATTCTACCCAGGGCAACAGCTTGAGGCTCTGTCTCAAAAAAAAAAAAAAAAAATGCTATAAATCAAACAAAAACAAGCAAACAGAAAACTTTATGGGATAAAATTGGGGGAAAAACCAAATAGTAGGGGTAGAAACACTAGCAAAAATGAAGTGCTAATTGTTAAAGAAGGCAACAATGGAAAACTATATTTAAATTAGAAAAATGAAGAAAGAAAAGAAAGAAACAAAGGGGGAGAATCTAGAGGGAAAATGTTGAAATTAAAACAAAACAAAACAAAAACAAAGACAAAGCAGTATATATATCTTGCTGAATATTGTCTGGGCAACAGGTGATCTTCTGGGGTATGAGATGTCAATCACAATACTGATACGGCTGTATGAGATGGAGACTGGAGGCCTTTGCTGATTTCTCAAACCCTGCAGGGTGGAGAGCCTAAATCTCTCCTCAGCCTGCTTAAAAGGCACTTTAAACTGCTAACCTTGGCTAAGCAGAAGCTTTTCCAGGAAAGCACTTGTCACTGGGATCACTCCTGAAGTGGCTATCCACTTACCCAGTGTGCCAAAACTGGTCTCACTCTCTACCCTTGAGGGCCAAGGCTGTAAGGCCTCAGTCCCTGCCTTTAGGCTGCTCAGTCACTAGATTACTGGTCCAAGGTGTCCTGCCCAATCCTTGCCCTGCAACCCTGAGGATGGAGCTTGCTGGAGCAGTTCTTCCACAATGGCTCCCTGCGGCCCACAGCCAAACACTATTTGCTCCATCTGGCTCCGCTGCTCAGTCTAGGGCCCTAGGCCAGGCTTAAAGTCCTCCGCACTCTTGCCCAAGTTCTTCCAAGATAGATCAACTGAGTGCCAAGTCCAGAAAAAAACAAAACAGCTCACAGGTAAGGCCTTTCCAGTTTGCAATCTCACTGCTGCTGTACTTACAGCTGCCGGCAGGATTAGACCGAATGAACACATGCAAACACTTGCCAGTTCTCCACTGCTTATGTCCTCCTCACAGGGTCCAGAAGTCTCTTGCTGATTCCCTGTGTCCCCAAAGGGATGTTTCTGGGCAGATCCCACCAGCCAGAGATGCCTGGAGTCTTCTCTCCCCAGTCTCATCGTACCCAGTTGCAAGGAAGCTATTACTCGGCCTGTTATCTTGCTCCTCCCCCTTCTTTTTAAAGATAGAGTCTCACTTTGTCTCACTCAGTAGAGTGCCATGGCATCACAGCTCATAGCAGCCTTAAACTCTTGGGCTCAAGTGATTTTCTTGCCTCAGCCTAAGTAGCTGAGTTGCTCGGACTACAGGCATCTGCCACAATGCCCAGCTATTTTTAGAGGTGGGGTCTTGCTCTGGCTCAGACTGTTCTCAAACCTGTGAGCTCAGGCAATCCACCTGCCTTGGCCACCCAGAGTGCTGGGATTACAGGTGTGAGCCACCACACCTGGCCTTTTTTTTTTTTTTTAAATTCAGCATCCACATGGTGGAATGGGAAGCATAGTAGAATGCTATGTGTTTGTGGCATATAGGAATTTGCAGATACATGTTTTCACATGGAGATTGTATGTATTTCCTTTCATGTTTGTGTTGCCTTCATTTCCTTAACATAAACCCATCCTTAAGTTGACTCCCTATCTCAGTCATTCCCCACTTTAATCCGTCTTGCTTATACTGCAAGATGAATTTTCCTAGAACCCTTTTTCTATCTCAAGTCTTTAGTGGTCCCATTTCATAAAAGTTAAAGCCCCTTAGAGTGGCATTCAAGGCCTCAGTGCTATGATCTCAGTCTGTCTTTTGAATCATATCTCCCATTATTCACCTTCTCAGACAAAGTGGCCTATTTTTCTCTGCACCCTAAATGTGTCATGCACTTCCCTTAGTTTGAACAACTGTCCTCCATTTTTCTTCATCCATCCAAATTCATTATCAAGCCAAGTCCTTCCCTGCTGGGAAACTTTGAAACCTGCTATAGGGGCTTTCTTCCAAGCTGTGTGGGACACTCTTAACCTCACTCCTCTCATCTTTGATGAGTCCAACTAGCTTCACTGTCTGAAGCTTTTTTAAAAAATCCCTTCCACTTGTTTTCTGTCTTTGCCTAAATTTACATTTTATCTCTTAGAATCACGGTTTAAGTTCCAAAAAGTAGGGACATGTCCTGGCCCAGGTGTGTATTTGCAAAGCCCTCCATAGTGTCTTCCTCTGGCTGGAGTGGATTAATGTTCTGTTTCTCTGAATTTTTAAAAATGAGAACCAGGCCAGTGTTCTATAAATTTTAAGATTTAACATTTCCTTTCTTTTCTTCATTTAGCCATACTTCCCATTGCCTCCAGCTGTTGCACCGAGGTTTCACATCATATTTCCAGAAGGCTTCTGGAAAGAGTGAATATGTGTCGCATCCAGAGAGCTGATGGAGACTGTGACTTAGCTGCTGTCATGTGAGTGCTCTTCAGCAGGGAGGTCTAAAGGTGCACTGAGATGATTTCCACGGCCAGGCAACAGTAGGTTAGAAAGGGTGTACTTCATTCGCAACATACAAATAATTATCTAGACAAGGGAGGGGAAAAGTAAATATCCTGTCCTTTGGGCCCCAGGATCCCTAGGGTAAATGCACAATCTCCATGTCCTGGACCCCATGCCAACCATCCAGTTCCCCCTACTGCTGTGCTGTGATTTAGGCTGTGTGCCACAGCCACCAGAAAGCATTCACGACTTTCCTAAGCAAAACGAGGGGACTCAAAGTGAGAAAAACAAAACCCCAAACAGAAGGTGACTCTTATGTTTCATGGCTTAAACAGCAACTTTTTCCAGGAAGGTCTATGGGTTGCTGTGTGTTTTACATAGTTTGTCATTATAAGGTTCACAAACAAGTGTCAGAGTGTTCTGTACTTGTCACAGGTACCACCTGCAGTGCAATCAGACATGCCTTTCTCTGCTGTCGATCCTTGGCTCATGGTGAACCCTTCCAAATCTACTCTGTGTAGAGTAGATTTATTTATATGTACTTAACATCTTTGCAGAGGCTCCAAGATCTGAACTGCATTGGCATGTAGCAAATCTGGATTCTGACAACACTGCTGTGAGGAAAGCATAAACTACCTCCTCGTCACATATGGGAGAAAGCTGCATCTGAGATTACATAGTTCCCCTGGTGTCGTACAGCCAGTGAAGGGTAGAAATGGGATGTGAACCCAGGTCTCTTGGTTCAGAGCACTATACAGCCTCCAAGGTCATTCCAAGAGACTAACCATAAAATGCTCTGGCAAAGCTTCCTTGCATTGGGGTATCAGCTATGTCCCTGGCAAGCTGGTTTGAACGCTACGTAAGGCTCCAGGTGATGCTAGTGACCCATTTAGTGCACCTTTCTTTGGGCTGTAAATAAGCCTGAGCTCTCGAGTCACTCAGAAACCTCTTTATTCATTCAACAAATATTTATGGATCAACAATTCTATGCCAAACACTGTTTTCTGTGCTGGGACTGCAGTGGAGTCAAAATGGGCTCGTCCTGCCTGAAAACTGCTTTGTCCAGCTGGGCTCTGCACATCATCTCTGATGACTTGAGATGATCTCTGGGATCTGAGAAACTGCTTTTTCCCCATTCAAAGGGATAAATCCATTAAATTTTGAGAAGCACTTCTTCAAGACCAGGATTCTTAAAAGTTAGAGGAAGAGCTTGTAAGATGTCTATTAATAGACTTCAGGTCAGGAGCTGTGAGCGCCCTGAAATTTTTGTGCATGTCAGCATTTTTCTGGGAGAAGTTAGGTTTTATGAGATTCTCAAAAGGATCAGAGATCTAATAAAGTTTTAAAACTACACTCATTATCAGATGTTGGGGAGATAACAATTCTTGGTCCAACCGGGGGTAATGAACCTATAGCTTCATTTCAAGAGTGTTCTTTTTTTTTTAGACAGAGTCTCATTTTGTTGCCCCCTTCCCCCCCATTGAGTGCCCTGGTGTCATAGCTCACACCAGCCTCTAACTTTTGGGCTCAAGCTATTCTCTTGCCTCAGCCTCCCAAATAGCTGGGTCTATAGGTGCCCGCCACAATGCCTGGCTATTTTTAGAGATGAGGTCTTGCTCTAGTTCAGGTTGGTCTTAATTCATGAGCTCAGGTGATCTGCCCACCTTGGCCTCCCAAAGTGCTGGGATTACAGACATGAGCCATCATGCTCAGCCCAGGATTGTTCTTTTTTTAAGCACTAAAGGAGGCAAGAAGAGCTTCATTGCTCTCTTCTGCACCCCCTTTAATAAAAGTGTTATGTAAAATATGGATTCAGTCAAAAGGCTGAATTTAGGGACCAGAAAGGCCACATCTTTCCTTAAGGTCCCACCTCAGTCAGAGCCATCTCTTGGATTGATCGGTCTCATGGTTTAGTCATTGCAAACCAGAATAACCTGTGGCAATCTAGGGCCTGCATCCTAACAAGGTGCTTGCTGAGGGGAGCTTCAAGTTCCTACCTTCTTTGAATAACTTCCTTAGTATGTGCCTGGCCAAGACTATACCAGTCAGTCTTTGATTTATTCTCTCTTTTTTTTTTTTGGAGACAAGACTTTCACTTTGTCACCCTTGGTAGAGTGCCTTGGCGTCACACCTCACAGCAACCTCCAACTCCTGGGCTTAGGTGATTCTCTTGCCTCAGTCTCCTAAGCATCTGGGACTACAGGCGCCCACCACAACGCCTGGCAATTTTTTGTTGCAGTTTGGCCAGGGTCGGATTCGAACCCGCCACCCTCGGTATATGGGGCCATCACCCTACCCACTGAGCCACAGGTGCCACCCCCAGTCTTTTATTTAGTGAACACTATTGGTAAAATTGGAGAGTGAAAAATAAGTAAGGCTGTTCATGGATAGGCAATGCTGTAGGTGATTAGAAACATCTGAATATTTGTGTCAGGTGGACACAACTGAACTAAATCTGCCTGACATTGCTCTGGCTGTTCCCAGAAACACCAAATTTTCAGCTCCTCTGTATTCCTTCCACTTCACTGGCATACATCACCTTGGATTAAAAGAGACTTAAGAGCTGTTAAGGGCTCCCGTGGAACTACCAGGAAGACTTTGAGAAAAAACATAGAAAGTTTTGGTGGTTGTATAACGGTAAGAGAGAGATTCTGAGAGTTATCAGGGGATGCTACTGATAACAGGATTGTCAGATCAGTATTGCACCCCTGGAATGAGCAGGTGTGAGATAAACTGTGAAAGGCATAGGAACAGAGATGATGTCTCGTTTTGACAAGGGGAAATATAGTCAAAAACATAAATCTTCATTTTAAAAAGAGCTCAATTTTAATAACTATAAGCCAATCTTCTGGGTCTAAAAATTTTTTTTCTTTTTCTGTCTTTCTTTTTCTTTTTTAAGACAGAGTCTCAAGCTGTCACCCACTGGGTAGAGCGCCATGGCATCATCTCACAGCAACCTCCAACTCTTAGTTCAAGCCATCCTCTTGCCTCAGTTTTTCTATTTTTAGTAGAGACAGGGCCTTGCTTTTTGCTCAGGCTGGTCTCGAACCCAAGAGCTCAAGCAATCCAGCTGCCGTGGCCTTCCTGAGTGCTAAGATTACTGGGTCTAAAAATATTTACCTTATTCAAGCACAAGTTTGTAAATTGACCCCTCTGTACTGATAAGAAAGCTAAAAAGTACAGAGTTGTTATGACCTGATCTCAAATTAAGTTTAACTCTTTAAAAATTAAAAAAATTAAAATAATAATAATTTTTTTT